TGTCAGATTGTAATAACCTCATAAATGGTTTGGAGCTGTATGCAGGAGAACCTGTTTGTCTGCATTCTTAACCTTTAGGGTGCCAGAAGTTACCTTTAGGCTGTGGGCAGACCCAAGCCGTGTAGTTTGGCCTGTGGGATAAGAATCCCCCTATTTCATTAAAAGCAGTGATTAAGAAAAACCTCTGAAAGCGAATGGAACTTTTAAATGGGAGTGATTTTAAAGTTTAAAGACAGCATTGGGCAAACAAAGAGGAAGGACTCCAGTTATCAGGTTTGTACAGGTGTGCTGTAGGCAGTGGTAATTCGGTAGATAAATTAGATTGATACGCCCATAGTGAGGAGAAGTCATGTGCCCCATCCAGTGTTTTTGCACCAAACTCATTAGCAGTTTCCAGGCATAACCCAATAGCATCCTAAGGAACAGAACTGGCATCTGCAGCAAGACATTCTTCTTTCCTCATACATGAAAAGTGGATGGCAGCACTCCTATTTCACTCTGTGGCTTGTTTGCTAGCAGGAATCATTACCTTCATTGCTTTATTTCTTTTTAAAACTAACAACTTGTTTTCACTACCCTGAATCACTTAATACAGTCCCACAGATGATTTAGAATTGAATGTGATTATGCAGACCAGCCCTTGGTCTGACTCAATATGCTGTTTTATTGCTTTGAAGTTGTAATTGTGATCCAGAGGTGAAAATGCACCATCCAACAGCCTAGATACACAACTGAAAATTGCCTGCTTCTCTCAGTCCAGTGCATGGAAGGACATGGATTTCTCATCTAGACTATGCTTATTAGTGAACATTTTGTATCTTTTCTTTCTGAGCAGTAATTTGGGTGTTGTTTTGTTGGTGCTGCAATGAGCTGTGGACTGAAGCTTTTGTTGAACAGCATTTTAAGTGTGCATTGTATCCTGCTTGAGAAACCTAGCAATTTAGCTTCCCTATAATTGTAGGTATGACTGGTCTTGTCTTCTGGGAGTATCTTGAAGGGGAAACATGCAGTCAATTAGCATGCCTATCTAACCTGCAGGAAGAGAGATGTGAACTGACCAAAGAGTGCACATAGGAGACGTGGGGTTGAAATCTCAAGATGACCGCAGACCTCTCTCCAAAGGCACAGTTTTGCAGTGCATAACTTAATGTACAGGAAGGATGTACCTTTGCTCTATCAGTGTATGCATTAGGTGGAAACATCCCCCTTGGATCCAGTGCTGTAGTGAAAAGTAGTGTCTACTTCTTAATACTACATAGGTGTTAAAGAGTTTTGTTTCGGCTGGGTTTGTCCAGTGACACGACACTTTGGGTAGCAAATGTTTTAGAAGCAGCGTCCTCTTTTTTTTGTAAGGTTTGTTTCTTTTAGGGTAACAGAACCCTCCTTTGTTTGCAGAGATGAGGGATTTTTGCTCTTTGCAAGAGTTGCAAAGTATTTACTAAGAATGCAGTTTTCAGTGTAGGCAGGGATACAACAAAAAAAAGAACTGAACTGAGATGTTTCAGGGAAAAAAAATGGCTTGGAAGCAGCTCAGTTCTTTGCATCAAACTGCTGTAGTTCAACTTACAAGTTTCTAATCAAAAGCTGATATCAGATGGAAGTAAAACTTGAGGAGTAATACAAAAAGCATGTTGCAGAAAAGATCAAATGGAGAAAGATGAACATGTTCTCTAATGACTGCGGAGTTTCTCCAGAGACAGCTTTATAGGAGCATAACTCTGGTTATGCCTCACATTTATTTTGTCTCTGGCTGCATGCGTGAGACAGAATTGTGCCCTGTGGAGTTGGGAGCGTGCACTGCAACACAGCTCATGTCAGCACTGAACTCAGGTCTTTCGTGTCACTGAATTGTACATAGTTAACAGACTTTCTGTGAGCTCTGAAGACTTTCTTTTCATCATCTAGCTAAAAAAACGAGAATTGAAAAGTCATGTCTCCTCTACCAGTAAAATTTTGTTGTAATTTCTTTGACTTGGTAGCAGTAGGATGACTTCTGTGCCCTTGTGTGGAAGAACAAGAGTTAGGGGATCCAGCAGCTCAAGGAGAAGGAAAAATAAATAATGAAATCACTCTAAGAAAGATGTGTCCTTATTCAGAGAACAGGAATACCACTCTTTCCTTCTTTGGGGAATACATGAGCAGAAAAATTGAACCGAGAGACAATAACATGAGTGTTGTCAAAGTATTCTAAAAAATAGCTGAGATTTGTGCAGATGCCAAGTCTAACTTTGGCTGATTCTCTTTTAGGAATTTTGTAGCGCAATCTTCTGAATTCTATTAATATAACATGCAAATATACTTCAGACAACGTGGGTCTGCACTGTGGGAGTAAAGTGTTTCTTGGTGATTTTCAAAGGCCAGGAAGACATATGTTCTTGAAATATAAACTTCAATGATTGATATATGTAAATTGAAGATGATGAAATGTTAAAGCAAGGGAGAGTGAAAAGAGTGGTATATACACCATATGTCCAAACAAATGTCAGGTATAAGATTAACATAATAATCAATTTTGGTACTTATTTGGACTACATTCCACAGTAGTGAACAGCAAGTAGCTGTGCTGCCTTCTGGTCCAGCAATCAGAATTCTGCATGTTGGTGTTCCAATACAATTTGCATCGTAACAGCATGCAGCATGGTGTGTGCTGCAGTGTGAATGGCACCCACCATTATTAAAAATGGAAGAAGGTTGCCCTGTCAATTAAACACCATCATTTGTTGATACAATATGTTGACATTCCTCACATACCTACTGATATGGCTCAAGGTGGTTAATAGCAGAGATATCAAAGGTGTGACAGAATATAAGGCCTGTGGTATATACTATTCATGTAATGGATGATTGTAATGATGTATTGCATGGCAAAAAACATCATGAGAGGTTGTGTGGATTCTTAGTTGGTTACCTTCTGCAACATTTTACCTCCTGTAAGAGTAGGCCTGTGTCATGCAACTGAACACACAATGCTGTGTCCTTTATAATTCCTGGTGACCTGTTTCCACTGTTTAGGTGCATTTTTTTTTCCCCAAACGTGCATTTCCCAGACTCCTGATAGAAATAATGCATCCTCAAGCTCCATTTCAGTTACGAATGAATACAACTTTTGGTTACAGCACAGCAATCAATATTGTGTTCGGATTGTTTTCACTCTGTTCCAGAAGCCCAAGATTCGCCTAAATATTTGTGGTCTGTGAGTTCCAGAGGCCTATCAAATCTGTTAGTGTGAGATTACACCCATAACTTCATGAATAATGATTTGCAGCTGATTCTTGGCAACCTTGAAGCTCTCTTGATTAGAACAATTTAATGATGCTGTTGCTGGCTAGAGAGATTTTTTTCCAATGTAATCCTCCCTTTTTCATAGATTCTGAGATTTAACAGCAATTTTTTTTTGCTTTTTGTCTTCCTGTAGAAGACAAAGACATTTCTTTATTGAGTGGCAAGATACATGCTGTTTATGCTATTCTTCGGATTGGTTGGTGTTTTAGTCTGCTCTTTAGTTTGGGGCTTCAGTCGTACCTAAAGCTTTACCAGCTATTAGCTAAGAACATACATTGGCTTGTTTTCTCTAAGTATCCAGTTTGGCCATATTGGAAATAGAGGACTGAAGGGTGATGCATTTGCACCTCATCGTTCCCTGTTTATATAATATAGACCCTTGACTGTGCTGCCCTGAATGGATGAATAACATCACCTCTTATTTTTGAGCAGATGTTTGTTTCTGTAATGCTACAATGGGATGATAGTAGCAGGGCTGCAAAGCCTTTGGCTACAGCAAACAAAACGCAACAGCCATGGGTGGAGAAATGAAAGAGAAAAAAAAAAAAGACAAAAAAAGAGAGTTGCTTACCTTTAAAAGGCCTCTGGTAGGTAGGGATCTCCAACAAAAGATATCCTCACCTCCACTCCTGACCCTTAAATGAGATCTGGGAAGGGTGGATCTTGACTCCAGTCACTCAGGTGCACTGCATGCAGCTGAGCTCCCCTGGGTTGGCCCTGCCTTCCCACCAGGTGCTCAATTAGTGCTTCAGGCTGTGACTTAGCATTTCCACTACAGTTTCCAAAGATGTAATGAACAAATCCTCTAGAGTGAGCCTGTTTAAAAATGTGCTTTTCTTGAAAAAGAAAAAATAAAATTATTTGATGCTCTGGAAATAAATTCATAATCATGATAACAGAATCATAGAACCATACGGGCTGGAAGGGACCTCTGGAGATCTCCCAGTCCAACAGTCTGCTAAAGCAGTTGCCTACATTGGATTATATAGGAAAGCATCCAGATGGGTTTTGAATATCTCCAGAGAAGGAGAGTCCACCACCCCTCTGGGCAGCCCATTCCAGTACCCTGTCACTCCAAAAGATGCTACGTTCTGGAGGGTAAGGATGTTACACATGTAATTAATGATCTTCAAAAGCCAAATCTATAATTTAGTTACTGAAGTAGGTTAACTAAATTCTTTTAAGCAGCCATTGAGCTTCTACCGTTTGTATGTTCCTTCTTGTCCAGGGATATAAAAATATCCCATTGCAACATTGCTGAGTCATATTGAGCAACCTCCAGGCCTCTGTGCAAGAATCTTCTCACTTTCACTGGTTCCCTTTGATTGCAAGGATATTGTTGGCTACACACAGACATTTTCTGTGTGCTCGGAGCTGGCATGGCCTGCTGAAGGAGTTTTTTTTAGCTAAATATTTCCTGAGCGCTCCTGAAACCCAAAATTTAAGGGGTCATGGAGGGAAAGGTTTGCATGAGATATCTGCCTTTTCTAGTCTCTCCATGTCCCTCATTTTTCCTTTTTGTTATCTCTTTCACTACAGTCACTGTACATGATTTGGTGGTGTCACAGACCACAGAATGACTTCGTGTTTGTGTGGTGCTCAGCTTTTCTTGCCTGAAGTCCCTTTGGGGTGTTACTCCCAATGAATGGGCCTTTTACCCTGCAACATGCAGTCATAGCATGATGTATTTTTGTTTAATATCTTCCTATAAACTTACTTTCTGTTACAGGCTCACCACGGGCACAGCTCTCAGGAGTGTTGTTTGGTGCAGTATTCTGTCTAAACATTTTCCCACTGGATCCAATCCAGTCTGAAATTGCAACTGTCATGAGAAGGCAACAAATCATTCTGAGAAATATCTAAATTTTCCCCCACTGGTCAGAGCAATGTTTATGAACAGCCAAAGCCACATGACGGAGGGTACTCTTGAACCCTTTTAGTAATATATGCTAAAAAAGTACCAGAGCTCCCTTTTTTTTTTTTTTTTTTTTGGTATGAGTAAACCACAGAACTACTGATTTCCAGTTTGAACAACCCTGGGTAGAATGTCATGGGAAAAAAAGTCAGGAAAGGAATTGGACTCAGCCCAGAAACATTTCTGACCCTCGTAGCTACTTTATTTCTTCAGACAAATAAAAAGGAAACAAATCAAAACAACCACCAACAAACTTTTTTTTCAGAAACGTGCATATTCTTTGAAAGAGCATTACTATAGCCATGTATGTGCCATCTGTGGATGGATGTGTGCTCACTTCCAGTCCCATTAAAAGAAATAAAATGAGAGTAAACCACTGTTTACTTACCATGTGGTCACTTTCATATCTCAAGCCTGCAAGATAACTGAGAAGGGTCAGCCTTGCAAGGCGTTCCATTTAGCAGCTGTTTCTGTGTCATCCAGTAGCTAGCAGTCTTATGGCAAAACAGAACAGGAGCAGTATATTTTCAGTTTTCTTGCTTAGCTTTTACAGCTCAGTGACACTCCTGCAGTTGGCAAGATGGGTGGCAAGAGACACATGTTAGAAGACATGGAAATGGTGCCTAATTGCTCTCAGTTTTATCATCTGTTAACTTGCTTCAAACATCTGAAAAGCTGTTTACTTCAGGCTAGCAATAGCTCTTACCAAATGTTTTTGGTTTCAGTGCTCAGCTTTGGGAATGCATTTTGAAGGAGAATTTGCCTTTCTAGGTTGAGAGAACTGGATTTCCATCTTTAGTCACCAGTCTGTCCTGCAGAGACAGAGAACACCTGCAGATATCTACAAAGCCCCTTCTTGTTTGCTGTTGCCATGATTAGGATGTTGTCTTCTGTTCTCAGCTGCATGTGAACCTTACCTTTGTTTATTTGAAATACCAACTTGTGACTTCCAAGCCACAAACAGTAAGGATGTGCAGCTAATGTTGGCAGTTTTAAACAATTTTGGTCATGTAGTTACTCTCCTGTACTGTCTGAAACCTGTGAGTACTGTCTCCAGGCCACATTAGAACCTGGATAATTCTGTCTTGTATTTTCTTAATTTCAAGTCCCTCTGTGTGCTTCCAGGTGTTCTGCTGGATTGTTTTCTTTAAGTATTAAACTGCTGTATAATGGTTCTTCCATATTCTTCCATAGTTTCCTCCACTTCGGGCTACAACATTCAGTGTTCCTTAGTTTCTGCTAGTTCCTGTTTACTTTTTGAAAAGTAGCTTGGTTGAAGTGTCAGTGAACAATCTTTAAAGTGCTGGAATTTAAGATCACATGTCAGGTCCAATGACTCTTGCAACCCTTATAATGTTGGTGAATCAGCTTTTTACAAGGGTAGACACTGATAGGACGAGGGGAATGGTTTTAAGCTCAAGGAGGGAAGATTGAGGTTGGATGTCAGGGGAAAGTTCTTCATAGAGAGAGCAGTGAGGTGCTGGAACAGCTGCCCAGAGAGGCTGTGATGCCCCGTCCATCCCTGGAGGTGTTCAAGGCCAGGTTGGATGGGGCCCTGGGCAGCCTGGGCTGGTGCCAGATCTGGAGGCTGGTGGCCCTGCTTCTGGGGAGGTTGGAACTTGATGATCCTTGGGGCCCCTTCCAACCCAAGCCATTCTATGATTCTGTGATTTTTATTCTTGCCAGAAGTGACTTTTCTAGAAGACAGTGAAACTCCTCTAGAAGACAGAGAAAAATAAAAATACAATACACAGTGATTTCAATCTCTACAAGAAAGATCTCTGACAATGGTATTAATTGCTCCAGTGAAAGATGTTGCTTACTGAAGAAATTATTCTAAGGGTGTGGCATCTACAGTGCTTCTCTTAATCATGTTTGAATAAGGGATTAGATAATGCATCAGTGTCATGATGAAAGGAATCGTATGGGGAAAGTGTGCCCCTGTTTTATAACCAGGCTCTTCCTCTGTCAGTGTCAAAACCTCCTGTCTATATTGCAACTGAAATGAAAATAATCAGGGCAAGGCTCAACAGATTATAACCTGATGGCAAGACTGAAGGTTAGAATGGACTCTTGGCACTCCAGGCTTTCGGCATAACTCAGCAGTGCAGATGCAGCAGGATTTCAGACACGTCAATACAAAACCTAAAAGCTAAACTGCAATAGCAGCAGTGGTGCAAGGATGAGTGCCATGTTAGGTGATGGAAGCATTGATTGAAGGCATCGCTGGTATGATTTGGAAAGTGCTAAGATACCTTCACCATAGAATCATAGAAGACTTTTAACATTGAAGACTTTTCCATGACTGTTCACCCATCTCTGACACATGACACAAAAGTTACTTTCATTTATGCAATCAGAAGCTCTTTAAGAAAGATGTATTGTTCCACTGCAGTTTGGAAGGCTAAGCCTCTGGAGTGTCAGCAACAGTGTTAAAAATGCTTTCCTGTGTTTTGTTCTGTTCATTATTCAATTATTTGACGCTGGTGTGCTGTAGAAAAATTGCTGTAGCATTTGTTAGCAACTGTCACGTGAGTTTTGTATTCCTTCATCTATATACTGAAATCCCATAAGTATGGAGCCACTTTAACAGGGTCTGTACACATCAATTGTTCAAAAGCTCTCTCTCAGCCCATCTGTAGCTGGGTGACAGCTATGGGCATGAATTCAATAAAAAAAGATTTATTAACTCCTCTGTGGAGTCTTTTTCACTCTTTTTTTCCCCACTCTTTTTTGGACCCCTTATTTTATGAATAGCAGTATCAGTACTGTCAGTACTGATGTCAGTAATGTCAGTAATAACAGTTTACCGTCATGCAGGATGAACCAGAAGCCTAGTTGCAGTCTTGGAAGCACAAAATCAATTGAAGTGATAAGCACAGAATAGATCACAGCAGTATCTACAGGACTAAATAACCTCTCACCACCCCATAATGACTAGCGCAATGTTTACCAGTAGCATCTTTAATCAAGTCCAGATTTGTTACAGCAACTCATAGAGCTTGTAATGACAGCTCTTTGTGTTTCACTCTGGGGACACAGGTAGTGTCTTTTTCGTAGAATCATAGAATGGCTTAGCTTGGAAGGGACCTTAAGGATCATTAAGTTATCTTATCTTAACCCATAGGCTCTCCACCTGGTCCTGATTGTTACTCAGAGGGAGCTCCTTGCAGTCTATCCACATTTAACATGGAGGGCAACTCCCCCACCCATCCTACCTTGCCTATCCCTTCTATAAACCTTACAGCCCTCAGTGGTGGCATTCCAGTTATATGAACCATCCCACCACGTTCCTTTGGCAGCAGTAAGATCACAGTTTTCCAAGCACGCCATGCTTTCTAACTTCTCTTGCTTATTTGCCATGCTGTGTGCATCATGGAGGCACGTCAGCTGGGCTTTGGGATGCCTCACCTCCCTAGAGAGCTCTCCCACAAACCTCCAGGACAAATCTGATGTTTTTCCTAAGGTGACAGCATTCCATGGGTCTTCTCTGTCACTCAGCAGCACATCCCCTTCCCCCAGCAGAACTAGTTTAAAGCCCTGGTGATGAGCCCAGACAGCTTGTTACCTCGTCCTCCCAGTCACTTGTGTCCCATCCCACACCAACATTCCTGGTTTATGAAGGTGTGTCCCAGATCTCAGAACCCATCGCCATTGGCGTGCCTCCACCCACAGCCAGTCATTCAGCTGATCCGTTCTCCTTCTGCCCAGTCTCCAAGTGGGAGGACTGAGAACACTACCTGCACTCCCAATCCCTTCAGCATCTTCCCAAGGGGCTTCATGTCTTGTTTGATATTTAATTTCCTGGTCTTGAAAGGCCAGGAGGGGATAGCAGTGGTTCAGCTTTATCATACCTGGTATCCTCTTCTTGATGTTCTGGTTGCAGGCTCCCAGCAGGCAGAAAACCCCTCTAGAGAGGTTATCCAGATGGGTCCAGTGCCTCTCAGCAAAGAGCCTCCAATTTCAAAGACCCTTTGCTTTTTTTTAATGCCATCAGTAATGACTTGGGTCCTCAGCTGCACCTTTCTAACACGATCACCCCTTTCGGGTTCCAAGCACCAGTCAATCTCTCTTACCGCTGAATCCACCTCAGCTTGGCAACTTCCTGCTACAGCCTGGTCAGGTGCTCTAAAGATCATCGAGTTGGGCACACAGCTGCACCCAAAATACCCCTCACCTACCTCAGTCCCTCTGGTGATCTCCAGATTCCAGAGGCTGAATGGTAAGAATGGCTTGAAGGTATAGCACAGTCAGCTGGCTGCAGAAGGACCACAGCTCCCAAGATTGCTTGAAGGTCAGTTTCAGGGCTACAGTTTTTCCTGGTCATGCTGTCATTCATGGTAAAGATCAGATTTATGACCTTTGTCCATGCTTTAAGGCCACAGAGGTGCACAGCCCCACTCTGCTCCAATTACGTGTTTTGTATTTTTTTTTCCTTGGCTCCAAAATACTGTGTTTTTCACTGTTCTTCTTCCATCCCTCCTGTGCTGACTGGCAGGTGGTTGCCACGCTTACCATATTCTGCTATTGTGACAGAGCCTATGTGATCACACTCAAAGCATTTCATAGTTTTCATTGCCTCCCCCGCGACAGAACAGGAGGTCATTATTTGGAGGACTGAGGACAGTCAGGATCCTGCCCGCTCCCTGACCTTTCAGATAACTGGTTATTCACACAAATATTGCAGAAATGCTGTTCTGGAGAGGACATAACATTCTTACTGGAATATCGCTGTCCCACACCATAATCACTTCCTCGAGGAGGCTGAAAAGTGCAGTACCAGTGGTTATCAGGAATGGGCTCTGTACTGTCGCCTTATCTCTCAGACTGGCACTATTTTACAACAGTACATTTTCTTTGGAGGTTTGCTGTCCTTTGCTGTTGACGCTGGGGAAGCAAATGTTAGGGCTGCTTTTTTCCGTCACGGAAAGAACAGCGTGCGAGTAAAGTGTGCCCTCTAGGATTTGGAAGAAACAAAGCTAAAAACCCTAATGGTGTTTGTTTTGAAACAGTTTCTACAATGGATAGCAGTTGTTCTTCCAAAGGAAACAGTGAGAGAGAAAATACAGCTTTATCCATTGAGCAATGGCTGCAACACCCAGCACGGACCCCAGGCTCCACTATTGCTTCCCGAAATCAGTGTTCTCCAAAGCACAGAAATGATGAGCACAGGGTTTGCTTTGGGGCTCCTTGCTAAAACACAGACTTGTATTTTTAAATCTTTGTTTCTATCACGCATGAAAACATTTGCTCCTGTGTCAACGCCTCGCTGCCAAAAAACCACCTTGAGTTCATTCCTACTGTTTAATTATCGACTATGTGAGGATTTTTGACTTACACATTTAGGTTTACATTTATAACCCCATCACTCTAATACAGCTCATGAGCAATGAGCTGCAGAACAGCATTTTAATTAAAAAATACATTTATCTGGATTCTGCTTGTATGCGGACAAATATTCAAAGATAACTGCGAATGGATCATTTCTGCAGTGAAAACATTTTGCCAATTTGTAAAAAATGCACCACGAGTCATGCTTAGAAATGCATCTGGCATCATGAAGATTAGTGTTTTCTACCAGGAATTCACTGATATGACTAATAAAACTAATACCTCTATGGCTCATTAGCAGAACTAGAGGCAAGTTTTGAAAAGACTTTTTTTCAGCCTCTTGGTAACTGGTCAAAACATTTCAGCTTATTTGTCTAAGTAAGCTGACAGGTTATGAGATGGAAACTGCTGGGGAAGAGAGGGATACACATAAAGGCCACAAAAGCACTGCACTTGTGCCGAATGGTGAACAAAGATTGTCCAGCGGCCCTGTGAGCAGCTCAGAGCTGCAGGGCTGCGTTACGACAAAGGTGGATGTCTTTTGAAGAGTCCGGCTGGTCAATGAATTGCAAAACACGAAAGGTTTCCAAAAGAGTTTAATAAATAATGAGGTTCTTTTTGTATCGTATAAACTATAAATACACCATGCAGTCCTTTTTTTTTTTTTTTTTTTTTTAACTTAAAATAATTTACAGGCTGAGGTAGGGGGATAGGAGGATGCTGTTGTGGGGTTCAGCTCCGTCTCAGGGTCTCCCCGATTTCCTGCTGAGCACACAGACACAGGCTGTGTCAATCCGGATAAAGCGCCAGGCTGCTTGCTTGCCCTCCATGGTCAGTGCTTTGACGAAGGTGTGTGTGGTGGTGCAGTAAGAGTTCCAATGCTTCGCATCGATCCCTCGGCACCCGCTGGACACTGGCCGAGGGTCCCTGCACTTGGTCTCGAAAAAGTACTGCTTAAAAACGTTGTTGTTAATGTTGACCTCTCCCAACACGGTCACCTCTTTGCCTTTGATGTCAGTGGCTGTGGTTTTGTCCCCGACCCACATGCTGACACTGTCGCACACTGAGAACTCTCCCCGGTGCAGTACGGGATGTGCAGTCCTCTTGGTCCTGGCAGTCCTGTTGAGAGAGACTGCACTGCTGAGAAACCCCGTATTCTGTCCCTTCCTTGACACTGGAGGTGGCTGCGTGCTGAACAGGACCCGAGAAGACCGGAAACGCTTCTTGTTAAAGAAATTTTGGTCCATGGCGATATTTAAATCTTCTGTTCCATCTGGCATCCAAGCAAAGCGGCCGTGGCTTGTCTGTGGGGCTGCCTCGGAAATGTGCTGTCCGTTACTCTGTTGTGTACTGGGTAAGGAGTGTTCTGCAGGATACTCCAGTGGACCATTGTCCTCTGACTTTGGAGCTGCCTGTGTGCCGATCAAAAAAGCTATAATCAGAGTGTAGTACAGCATGGACATTACGCTATGCACCTAGAACAAAAGAAAAATGTAGTATTACTGTAAGCCACGCTGGCAGAAACAGATGGTGTTGCTGGCAATAAACGTGTAAGATACCCAGGACCATACAGATTTCATCAGGTTCTCATGTGGGTACCAGATGTGGATCTTCCAGAAGAGCTCGTTCAGACAGTATAAAAGTTGTTCATAAAGTGAGAACATTAGAAAATAATAGCTAGATTATTATTAATTCCTCTGGTATTTGTTATTAGAACACTATGAAGCACTTGTTTGGTATTATTAATGCGGAGACCATATGGCGACAGCATGTTCCCAGGAGTAAAATCTCTGGTGATTTTTGCAATAACCTTTTCGGCCAGCACTGGTCTTTTGGCTGCAAATACCCTGCAGAGGAGCAAGCGTAGAAATAGGACCTTGGCTAAAATAGCTGTCTGTTTAGTTCATCCGTCTGCATGGCTGTCCTTCGGGCGAGGGTGGGGAGCACCGAGCTGGTATTTGTGGAAGTGGGGGAACCCCCTGAATCCGGCCATTAGCACACACTCCCAGCCACACTTACCTGCCATGTGGACAGGCCCCAGCACTCTGGCTGGCTCAGCAGCCTCCAGCAGCCTCCATCTATCCCATCTGCCCTTTCGGGACGCACCACATTGCTGATTTGGGGCAGATAAAGCCCACGCTCCTTCCCAGAAGAGCTCAGACATCACATGTCACGAGGGCAGATGGGATTTGTCCAAGTTCAGGCTGCCTATTAGGACAAATATGGGTATTACATAGGAGCACCATGGGTGACAGACTATTTCTGGTCGGCATCTTAGGTAGAGCGTGGCTAAAACCATTATGGTCACAGTACTGGGCACAGAGGAACACACCGTCCTTTTTTCAGTGCCACGAGCAAGAAGTTGCACAAATGTCCCTGTGTAGCAGACCCAAAGCGAGTGCTAGTCTTCCTGTAGCCTGGAGAATGTGCACATCTGTTTGGGTGTGGAAAAATGTGGGACAAATATCTAAAATATCTCTAAGAACAATATTATGCTGGAACACCAGCAGCAGTAATACTTTATTAGGTAACTGCCATGTGTTGACTAAATCAGCCATATGTTAGGGAACAAATCAGCAGCAGAGGCACTGAAAACATGATCTGAAATTGCAGTCAAGGGCTGACATTGTATTCCTCTGTGAAGAACTATGAGGTACAGACAGGATATAAACAGGAAAAAAACATAAATCCCTATCAATACAGGCTCCTCCCCTGTCTTGGTGCTCTGTTGTGCATGACGTGCCTCAGCTGGCCCCGAATTGCAGCGTCCAGCCAGCAGGCAGGCAGCCTCACACCCACTGGACAAACAGGGTTTTTCAAACGGAGGAATCAGGCTGTGCAATTCCGCTGTGATTTCCCAGCATGTCCTAATGTTTTTCTGGGATTGGGTCAATGACTGTTGACTTCACTCCTTCCTGCTCAGCTTTCTCAAACTAGAATTCAAAGAGGCACTAAAAGCTTTGTCTTTGCTGGGATGCAGTCTTGTAGAAAATGCAGAACCCTGACATGCACCATAGGGTCCTGTGTGGATACTTCTTATCTCAAATGAGCTGAAATAAAATAAACAGCTGTGTTTGTGCAGGGCTTAGCAAGCATTTAAGAAATCAGCAGGACATGCCAAATAGACTGAAGATATGCTTCAGACCCTGCATCATGGGAACAAAAGAGAGAAATGCCATAAGCAACAGTAGCAGTTCTCCTTGCAGCCTTTGGACTGGAAGAAATGGGGATGATACGATGGTTAGGAGTCAAATCCCTCTCACAGAGAAAGTCCTTACTGTTCCAGCTACTTCAATTTACTTAAAAGAAGGCTGAGGGTTGCTGCTTGCCCACATGCTGCTCATACTTGAGCAGCCATCATCGTCTGTACAAGGAAATAGAACTAGGTGTAGCTCAACAGCTTGGCTGTGCACAATTCAAAGAGTAACCCCTTGTTCAACAACCAAATTAAAATCAGATGGGTCACTGCATCTCTAGAAAGTTAGCTTTTCCAACAGAAATGTTAATGGAAAAGGTTTGCAGAACGAACTCCAGGCGCAATTCAGACATGCCAGAACAGCCTCAGCATATCGTGTTTATGCATAATACCCATTTTTATTATTCCCTTCTATAGAAAAGAGGCATAGCAATGCCAGCAAAGAGCTCTTTTCTGATTTTCTGCCACACTTTTTTCTCTGAGCTTCTTAGGTTGCATATTTTGAATCTTTCTTTGTATTTCCTGTCCTTCTGGCAAAGCATTCTATGGGATTGTGGCCCAAACACAAGCAAATGTATTTGGGATATGTGGTATTTTCCTGAAGATTCAGAACTGAATCTTTTAATCTATTATAACATTACTAGAAAATAATTAAAAATTAAAAAACAGATTCAAAAAGTAGATTAGCCTCAGTGACAGTGCAAGCAAAAAACATTTATGGAATAGGCATGCCTTAAGACTGTCAGGATTGTGACTTTTGCTGATGTGAAGGTATTTTACAAGCTGTTTTAGGGGGTTGTTTCTAAATTTGTGCTATGTTTAGCTACTGGACTCTTCCACGGTCCTTTCTGCAAAGTGTTCACACAGTTC